AAAAAAATGTGATTAGTATTGCCATAATGCAACCCTGCTGCGAGGTTACAAAATGTAGACGCGTAAAAAACATACCTTTGAGTGTGACAAAATGTAGACGGCGTCGTTTTCCAATTTTGTATGGGAAACAACAACACCACAGATTTTACGGTTAGAAAACGTCTTAAAATGTAGACGTCTACATTTTGAGACACTATTTGGAACGAACTGTGAACACCCCATGTGTCTCCTTCTGCTAGCAATCGTAAAATATGAGTGAGTATGATCGGTGTTGGCTGCAGTTCTGACAGCTTGACAAAATGTAGTGCTGACACATGTTAGGTTCATTTAGTAGTCGTTCATATACGGTTTACAATGCATTTATAAGGTTTGATGAATACCCTTATTGAGTTTTTTGGACTTGCACGAGCATGTGTGGCCGTACAGTAAAGCTTGAAACACATTGGAAACGATGGGCTACTTACCACAGCTGTGAAAATATTTTAGCGATTACAGAGCTACACCCCGACTGTGGTTGTGGCCAGAATATATCTTTTTTTTTTTCTACCGACAGATAAGGTGCTGCCTCTTACTTTATGTCAAACTCATTGAAATTCATTTTGTCGCTGCCACGTTCAAAAGGTCATCTCGCCATGGACAGAGCGTTTAGATAATGAACCGGAATGGGCAGAGAACGAGCACACGCTCAAAGAGCGTAATCCTCGTGTGTACGTATATAAGCAGGAGCGTAACGATGAGAACGCGACAGCATGCAAAATGAATTAGGCACACTAACACATTCTCACTTTTAGCTAACGCTTGTTTGGGGTAGTGCCCACCTCTGATAATGAAGGAATAATAAATTGGAAGCTGTGGCTCGTAGCCTGTCGTTTTCGATGTGTTCAGCACTTAAGTTCGACAGGTTCTGGTTTTACATACATCGATTAAAATCATTTATCGACATCGAATTTATTCGATGTTTCTGAAGCATCGGTTAAAATCGCGCGACCATACGTATCGTTCCATTACTAGCGGCGTTGAAATCTCAAACAATTTTGTATCGTGCATGATACAATAATTAAAGGTTTGGGGCATAATCAAGAATGGCATGATACGAAACTTTTTCTCGTGAGAGCTCTGTGAAAAGGCTCATTTTTATAACATCCCCCAATATAGCCACAGCAGTGAAAATCTTATAGAGTTTCATATCATGTCATCCTTGGCATAATTAAGTAAAGTACAAGTACAAGGAATATGTAGAGATACGTTTTGTTATTCATTTATTTACTGTAGGAAAACATTGATAAATTTTTCTACAAGCAGCTCTGAAGTTTCACTACAGCGTGAGAGCTGATCGAAGTTCAAAATAGAAAATATACAGCCCTCATCATGAACGTGTCGACATCAACCAGAAAAATCCAAATTGAGCAAAGTGTGCCAAGTGGTTCAGTTGGAAAAGGCCCTTAAGGCGCAGTGTGGATCCGAATGAAGTGGTTATTAGGCGTAAATTAGGTAATTGAAATTGCAATCTACTTTATTTAAAACTTAAATAAAACATATGTCGACGCGAGCATATGTTCATATGTATATGACGGAATACCTAATCCATAAAAAAATTAGCAATGCAAAACAACAATCAACATTCTGCGTGAATGTAAAAATGTCACTTGAAAATGGATAAATATAAAGGTAGAAGTGGACCCTACTGAAAATCACCAATCAACATTCTGCATGGAAGTAAAACTGTCGCAGGAAATCGAATAATTCTGCGGCAGAATTGGACGCTAGCTTCTTATTTCATTCTATGACCATGATACAAAAAGAAGTTAGTTTCACTTCAAAATTTTTTACAAAAAATGGGGTGAAATTAGGATTTTTGCAAAGAAAAATCAAACTCGTGTTAGGCCATCAGCAGTATTTATGCGCAAACCTTCTTCCCGCGGTGGTGGCCTTCGGGGCGCTATAAAAAATGGCCTCATCCATGCGCGAAATCCCCCTCCAATTTACAAAAAAAGTGCATATTTCAAACCAAAATTTTAATTTTAAATTAAAACTTTATCCTTTGGCTAGACATATATGGCCACTTCTACAAGAAAGTAAACTAGCCCGATTTTTTCTTTCTTTCAAATATTGAACATAGTGATTATTGGTATTCACTATATCTGTCAGCTGGTTATGACACTAATTCTTATCACATGTCCAAGCATTTTGTGTTTAATATTTTGCTCCTTTTGTCGAAGGAATTTTCACGAACCTAAAAACAGTTTTAGTTACTAAAACAAGGAAAAGTACAAAAATATAAGCTTTCCTTGATTTATTTTGGCCGATTAAGTTCTGAACGATAGAAAATAAATTAGTTTAACAGTTAGCGAAAAAGTTGTTTAGAACTCCTATTAAGTCGTAATGAAATGTACCGCAAATGTTAAGTTTAACATAGCCAGTGAAAAACTAACAAAGCTGTTTTTTGGATAATTACGTACCCTTTCCCAAAGAATATACACTTGTGGTCAGCTAATTAATCCAGCAACATTTTGATCAATTTTGGCTATTTTGCTTTCGTTTATTTAATGTTTATTATTTTTCCCTAAAAGTCTAGCTCATTATGTAACAAACATTATATAAATCCAGATTTCAAACTTTGTCCAAAGATTATGAAAAATCTGCAAAGTTTTAGCTAAATTTTCAACTTTTTATTAAATTTTTTTTTAGAATTTTTTGAGTATGCAGTGAAATGCTGAAAAATTAAAGAAAAAAAATTTTACGTTTGTATGCTTCCAATTTTTTGCAAAATACTTGAAATTAATTTCAAATAGGAAATATTTAATTAGAAAATATTTTTAATTTGCCATCTATACTGATATACATATATTTTGAAAGCCGTTTTTTTCTAACCGAATAACTTGAGAACAGCTGTACCGATATTTTTGAAATTTTGGACCTCGACTGTAAACCCTCAAAGAATGATAATAGAAGAGGCACCTCCCATACAAACTTAAGTTTTTACAAAACATATCTCTGGAAGTATTCATCGTAGAGTGCTGCAACTTGGTATAGAGATATATAATATCAACGCCGAACTCATGACAAAAATGAGAGTTATTGAAAAAGGGGGCGTAGAACCTCCCATACAAACTGAATTTCTCACATTAGAATGTGTATGTGGTGTGAGAAATTCAGTTTGTATGGGAGGTGTCACGCCCTCTTTTTCAATAACTCCCATTTTTTTCCATAAATTTGGCGTTGGTATTATATATCTTTGTACTACTAAATTGCAGCATTCGACGATGAATACTTCCAGAGATATGTTGTGTGAAAACTTCAGTTTGTATGGGAGGTGCCACATCCTCTTGATATATCGAGATTACTTTTGATCTAATATCATCCTTGGATAGTCTGGAGTCGATGCCCAAAATTTCAAAAATATCGGGCTGTTCTCGAGTTTTTCGAACAGAAAAAAACGACAAAAAAACGGCTTTCAAAATATATATTAGTATAAATCTATATATCGTCGCCTCAGAAAACGGATGACGAATGTGCAAAATCACGATTTTGGGATTTTGATGCAGTTTTACTAAGTTGGACATGCTCTTTCGATTTCTGCAATCCATTTTTTTATATCTCCATTAGTTTTTGAGATATTTCGTGCGCATTTTGTCGTATGTTACATAATATTAATGATTGGGTATGCATTTTGTTGTATGTGCTGAAAATGCGTCACATACGACAAATTCCCATACAAACGTACCTTTTTTTAATCATAAAACATTTGTCGTATGTATCGCAAAACTTTGAACTTACGACAATTGGATGGTCCTCTACTATAACGATACAATTAAAATTGAAAATTAAACTAAGTAACTAACTTTAAAATTTTAAATTTTAAAATTTTAGCTTGCACTGAGTCTCCAATGAAATGAAAGAGATAAAAATGTACAAAAGACTGAATTTAAGTATTGTTTTTTGTTTTTATATAAAGAAAACGTATGTTCGTAACATATTTACAGCATAAGAGATGTACAGATTTTTTTTATTAAATACATGATTATGTTTTTGTTATGTTTTTTCTAATAAGTAATCATTATTTAATAAATATGTCTGTTTTTTTCTCAAATTATACCATCGTGGTTGAAATAGATACTTTACTATTGTCGTATGTTCTGTGGACAAAACAAAGTGGTGAGTAAACGCTACTTACGACAAATTTATACGGAATGAAAAGTAAATTTTCTCATTAACGTTAAGAGATATTAAATGTAAAAATATGGGAAATCAAAACTAATAACACCAACTACGTCTCCTTCAAAAGTTACAAAAATCTACCGTACAGTTTCGGATTAATTCGACCTTAAACTTCAAAGTCAATTTTCTCAAAACCGTGTTTTGTAACATTCGACATCCGTTTTCTGAGACGACGATATATAAAAGAGGATGTATGTATGTGTCTATGTAGCTTATAGACTCCGAAACCACTCAGCGGATTTTGTTAAAATTTCCAGGATAGCTTCATAGAAATCCGGAGAGTGTTCCTGTGAAGTTTGGCTATTTTTGAAAGAGTTGCCACCTGTCAGAAAAAAAATTTATTTAAATATGCAAGTAAAGTATTGTATGTAGATATCAAATGGAAGGTATTTGGGAAAGATATTTAAGAAAATTTACACCAAAAAATATTTTAATTAGTGTTGCCACCTGGTAAAAAATTGAAAAATAATGAATAATGCAATTCACACCAAATATTACTATATGTGTATCAAACGGAAGGTATTGGAGAAACATTTACATATTTTTGAGTAGAGTTGCCACCTCTTTAAAAAAAACTAAAATCACATATGTAAATGTGTACATTAAAAATTATTTCGCAGGATCCGTATCAAACGGGAGCTATCGGGGAAATGTTTCAGTCAAGACCAATTATCATATAGGGTTGCCACATACCTAAGAAAATAAAATCGGATAATATTTAAAAAAAAATACCAAAGATATATAGTGCGATAAACTTCAAAGTCTGGCAAACCGAAAGCTTACCACAATGAAAATGCCGATTCCAAATTTTTAAATCTATATGTGTGCATATGTATGCACGTTAATGCCAGAGTTGTAAAAAATTTCACCAGGTTGCAATTTAAAAACCGAATTCGTTTAATATTTAAAAACTAAAAAAGTGCTCAATATTAATGCATAATTTAATAAGGCTTAAAAAATATAATAAAATTTTTAATAACGATTTGTGCAAACGCAAAAAGAGTTTTTAGTTGCTGATCAGAAAAAGCTTATAACAAAATCATGCAACGTGTAATCAAAGGAGATGGCGGAATTATCTTCCTAGATGATCCAGGAGGTGCGGGGAAAACTTTTCTCATCAATTTAATATCGGCGTCAGTTCGAATGCGAAAAGGGATTGCAGTAGCAGTAGCATTACCTGGGATTGCATCAACACTACTTGATGGCGGATGTACAGCGAATTCAGCACTTAAGCTTCCATTGAATTTGAAGCAGAACGAAACACCTACATGCAACATCAGCAAAAACTCTGGTATGACCATAGCCCTTAAAACGTACAAAATTATAATTTGGGACGAATGCACCATGACACATAAGAAATCGCTCGAAGCAGTTGAGCGAGCTATGCAAGATTTTCGTGGAAAAGATCAACCGATGGGAGGCGCTGGTATACTTCTTGCAGGTGACTTTCCTCAAATATTACCCGTTATACGTCGATCAACGCCTACAGAGGTATTGAACGCGTGCTCAAAAGTATCGCATCTGTGGAACTATGTTGAAAAAATTACGCTCCCAACAAATATGCGAGTGCATTTGCTGCAAGATGCGTCTGCCCAAATATTTTCAAAGCAACTTTTGGATATCGGAAACGGTGAAGTTCTATTGATCGCACAACAAATGAGATATCATTTCCGTCCCAGAGCATTCAAGACACCATCGACAGAGTATTTCCGAACTTAGCGATCAACTACCGATATCCGGAATGGCTCCGCACACGTGCAATTTTAGCTCCGAAGAACGATGATGTTAGTAAATTAAACGGTCAAATTCAATTGAAAATTCTAGGAGAAGCAGTCGAATATAAATCGATTGATGCAGTAATGGATAAAGATCAAGCTGTTAATTATCCAACTGAATTTCTTAATTCTTTGGAGCCACCTGGAATGCCTCCTCATTCGTTGGCGTTAAAGGTTGGATCACCAGTGATGCTTATTCGGAACTTGAATGCGCCAAAACTGTGCAACGGAACCAGTGATAAAAAAAAAACTAACACCGAATTGCTGATTCCACGTATACCGATGATTTCAAACGATTTACCGTTCGAATATAAGCGGCTTCAATTCCCATTGCGTCTTGCTTTTGCAATAACTATAAATAAAGCACAAGGGCAATCATTAACTATAGCGGGTTTGGATTTGAATGTGCTTTTCACATGGCCAATTATACGTCGCCTGTTCACGAGTTGGGTCACCACAAAATTTATATATTTACACACCAAATGGAAAAACTTAAAA